GATATGACTCCCTCGGATATAACTCCAGTCGGATATGACTCCGCTCGGATATACCTCCATCGATATGACTCCGGTCGGATATAACTCCAGTCGGATATGACTCCGGTCGGATATAACACCAGCCGGATATGACTCCGGTCGGATATGATTCCGGTCGGATATGATTTTGGTCGGATATAACTTCATCCGGATATGACTCCGGTCGGATATGACTCCACTCGGATAAGACTCCGGTCGGATATAACTTCATCCGGATATAACTCCGCCCGGATATAACTTTATCCGGATATGACTCCGATCGGATATAACTCCGCCCGGATATAACTCCGCCCGGATATGACTCCGGTCGGATATGACTCCGGTCGGATATGACTCCGGTCGGATATAACTTCATCCGGATATGATTCCGCCCGGATATAACTCCATCCGGATATTACTGCGCTCGGATATGACTCCGCTCGGATATGACTCCGGTCGGATATAACTCCGGTCGGATATGACTCCGGTGGGATATGACTCCGGTCGGATATGACTCCGCCCGGATATAACTCCGCCCGGATATAACTTCATCCGGATATGACTCCGCTCGGATATAACTCCAGTCGGATATGACTCCGGTCGGATATGACTCCGCCCGGATATAACTCCGCGCGGATATTACTTCATCCGGATATGAGTCCGGTCGGATATGACTCCGCTCGGATATAACTCCAGTCGGATATGACTCCGGTCGGATATGACTCCAGTCGGATATGACTCCGGTCGGATATAACACCAGCCGGATATGACTCCGGTCGGATATGATTCCGGTCGGATATGATTTTGGTCGGATATGACTCCAGCCGGATATGACTCCGCCCGGATATGACTCCGCCCGGATATGACTCCGCCCGGATATGACTTCGCCCGGTGATGACTCCGGTCGGATATGACTCCGGTCGGATATAACTTCATCCGGATATGACTCCGGTCGGATATGACTCCGCTCGGATATAACTCCAGTCGGATATAACTCCAGTCGGATATAACTCCGCCCGGATATAACTTTATCCGGATATGACTTCGGTCGGATATAACTTCATCCGGATATAACTCCGCCCGGATATAACTTTATCCGGATATGACTCCGCTCGGATATGACTCCGGTCGGATATAACTCCGGTCGGATATGACTCCGGTGGGATATGACTCCGATGGGATATGACTCCGCCCGGATATAACTCCGACTGGATATAACTCCGCCCGGATATAACTTCATCCGGATATGACTCCGCTCGGATATAGCTCCAGTCGGATATGACTCCGGTCGGATATGACTCCGGTCGGATATGACTCCGCCCGGATATAACTCCGCCCGGATATGACTCCGGTCGGATATGACTCCGGTCGGATATAACTTCATCCGGATATGATTCCGCCCGGATATAACTCCGCCCGGATATGACTCCGCTCGGATATGACTCCGGTCGGATATAACTCCGCTCGGATATAACTCCGGCGGAATATGATTCCGCTCGGATATGACTCCGGTTGGATATGACTCCGGTCGGATATGACTCCGGTCGGATATAACTTCATCCGGATATAACTCCGCCCGGATATAACTTTATCCGGATATGACTCTGCTCGGATATGACTCCGCACGGATATAACTTCATCCGGATATAACTTCATCCGGATATAACTCCATCCGGATATGACTCCACTCGGATACGACTCCGCTCGGATACGACTCCGCTCGGATACGACTCCGCTCGGATACGACTCCGGTCGGATATGACTCCGCTCGGATATGACTCCGGTCGGATATAACTCCGCTCGGATATAACTCCGGCGGAATATGATTCCGCTCGGATATGACTCCGGTTGGATATGACTCCGGTCGGATATGACTCCGGTCGGATATGACTCCTGCCGGATATGACTCCAGCTGGATATGACTCTGGCCGGATATGACTCCGCCCGGATATAACTCCATCCGGATATAACTCCGCCGGAGTCATATCCGACCGGAGTCATATCCGGCTGGTGTCATATCCGACCGGAGTCATATCCGACCGGAGTCATATCCGACCGGAGTCATATCCGGCTGGAGTCATATACGGCTGGAGTCATATTCCGCCGGAGTCATATCCGAGCGGAGCTATATCCGACCGGAGTAATATCCGACCGGAGTCATATCCGGCCGGAGTCATATCCGACCGGAGTCATATCCGACCGGAGTCATATCCGACCGGAGTCATATCCGACCGGAGTCATATCCGACCGGAGTCATATCCGACCGGAGTCATATCCGACCGGAGTCATATCCGACCGGAGTCATATCCGACCGGAGTCATATCCGAGCGGAGTCATATCCGGGCGGAGTCGTATCCGGGTGGAGTCATATCCGGATGGAGTCATATCCGGCTGGAGTCATATCCGGTTCGGAGTCATATCCGGATGAAGTTATATCCGACCGGAATCATATCCGACCGGAGTCATATCCGACCGGAGTCATATCCGACCGGAGTCATATCCGACCGGAGTCATATCCGACCGGAGTCATATCCGACCGGAGTCATATCCGACCGGAGTCATATCCGACCGGAGTCATATCCGACCGGAGTCATATCCGACCGGAGTCATATCCGACCGGAGTCATATCCGACCGGAGTCATATCCGACCGGAGTCATATCCGACCGGAGTCATATCCGACCGGAGTCATATCCGACCGGAGTCATATGCGGATGGGCTGAGACATATTCGGGCGGAGACATATTCGTACGGAGTCATATCCGGCTGGAGTTATATCCGAGCGGAGTCATGGACTAAAAAAACTAACTTGATGAAATTTATTGATGATTTTAGGGGGAGGGCGGTTTGACAAATAATCACGTGGGGGAGGAGGGGGAAAGTAAGACATCACGTGTATTTATTTTTTACCAAACATTTAAAAAAAATACAATTTTTTCTCGTAACTAAAAATACACGAAATTTAAAATCTTTATTAATTAAGAAAATCGACCGTGCAAGGTAATTAAAAGAAATTATATCGGGGAGTTATATCCGGGCGGGCACATATCGGGCCGGAGTTATATCGGGGCAATGTCATATCCGACCGGAGTCACAGCCGGTTGGAGTTATATCCGGGAGAAGTTATATCCGGGAGAAGTCATATTCGCCATATGGACTACAAAAAACTAACTAGACGAAATTTACTTATATGTAGTAATAGTAATATTTACCACCGTCTGTATTGATTCAGAAAAAACAGTGAGAAAAATTTACGATTTTTTCGCTTTTAAAGCCTTGTATCAAACTCTGTTCGCGTTAAACTTCGCAATTAACTTTAGTAGTAAATATCACTTTTCTTGTGTATATTTCAAGTCATATCTTGTCACTGACCTTAAAGCACCTGTGCCAAGCAGTCAGAAACTTGATTTAACTAATTTTTTGGTAATTTTCGTAAATTCGAATATTGAAGTTTAAAATAATCAGTGAAGTGC